TTGGCATCATTTCAATTCACCATCAGAACATGTGGGGTTGCCATCGATTGGTGACTAGTATGTCCATAACACCTATGCTACCACCAGTAGGACCTCAACCAAGCTTGACTTCTCAGCATCGCTTTGGCGGTGGAGGCGGGACGCCCGGCTGCTTGACGCCTGTCGTATCGTATGCGCCACGCCTATAAAGCTCAGCTTAACTTAGTCGAAAGTCACCAGTCATAGAACCTACCTAGTATTGGGCATTCTCCCTTTAGGACGAACCATAGCTGGCCTCTGCGCTTTTCAAGCTATATGTAAGGATTGATCTCTCTATAGATAAGGCCGAGTTAGCTTAGATATAAAGATAGAGCTCGTGGATCTGTATACCCGAGTGCGATTATGAAGCAATGGGAGGCAGGAGAGTACACATAAAATAAGAAGAAACCAGCTCACAATAAAAGCTGAAAATAGCCCTATAGGATCCATATAGCAAAAGCTAGGGAGACGGCGGATGAAAAGATTTCTTTTCCATATGGTGAGCTCTTATATAACCTCTATATGACTTCGCCGAATCAGTAGCGATATTCCAGGGGCTATGTTCTAGAAAGCAATCCGTAACCGTCCATTTATGGCTGAGTGATTAGCAATAGAGTGCTTGCACCTAAGGAATAATTGGAAAAGCCGGCTCCCCTTTGCGCTTGGTATTTTCAAGCGAGATGTAAGAATTGATCTCTCTATAGATCAAGTCAAGTTACGGACAGGAGCCGCAACATGCTAAAAAAAAAGAAGTTGAGAAGGTAGGTTCTTGGTAGCATCGATCCATTACTATTGCCAACTGGGATATGCTTCCTTATAAATTATGGCATGAATTCGTAGCGTCAAATTTCATTACATACGAAATCCTCAAATAGAAATTCGTACCACGACATAGAATCAAATATTCATACACGAACGAACTTCCAGACGGGAAGAAGTCCTAGAAGTGTTCCGGTGCGGTGCATTGTTCGTCCCCAGCTTGATATCCTATTTCCCTTCCAATTTACCCAAAAACTCAGCTAACTCATGCAAATTTGCATCACTTGCAGCAAGGGCCTGCGCCTCCGGCAAAGAAAATGGATCGCTTTTAGCAATTGTCTCTTCAATCTTCCGAATAGCAAGATCCTCCACACTCATAAGCGAGCGTTCGTACTGCTCGACATGTCTTTCCGTGGCCCAGGGCTGTTGCTCACATAGATAGCCCATCGTGCTCAAAAGACGTTTGCTCTCTGTACATACACCGAACACAATCTCAATCAAGATATCCTGAAGTAAAGCCGCGTCTTTTGGCTGTATAATTAATGCTTGTTCTGCAATTGCGGTAAGTATATCTAAACTTTCATCGGTTTGGCGTTTAGCGGCCTCCATCGCAGCTATACGATAGTTGCGGGTGTTACTATTATGACTGATAAGCCAAATAGCGGCTTCCACCCGATCTGACTGGGTAGCTAGGAGTAGTGGAGCGGGCCTCTGTTCTTCCGTTGGCAACCAAGCGTGCTTAGACAGCCACTCGAAAATAGGCTTTGGGTCTGGGTGAAACTTAGCTACTGCATGCCAAGCTGTTAAATTGCCGTTCCTAGTTGCAAGACCCAGTGATATATTGATACGTCGGGCTAGCATTCTGTTCGCTAAATCGACATTGACATGCTTGCAAACATCATAGATATGCTTCACCCGAAGGGTGAACGAGAGATCTAGGTCTGGGTCCGAGTCCAGTCGATCCCAACAGATCTTGAAAACTTTTGCGCACGTCACGGTCTGCTGAAAGATTGTGTCTGTGAGCCCGATTGACAGAGGTTTGAGCAATTGTTTGGGCTCCGTAAGAGATATTAGGCGATATAAAATCTCTCTGTTCTTCTCAATGCTATAAGCAAGAGCAAAGAAGCTATGACCGTCGTTGTTATAGTAGGGTGGTAGAATTGCACCGTAGTCAAGCATAAAATTGAAGCAATCCTGGCACTCGGTCAAAGTTGATGTAGCGATATCCTTTTCCGAGCGTCTGGGGATCTCGGGTAGATGGCTCACGGCCTCCTCATAGTTGATATAGAGGCTCCACCGGGTTCGTATCATTTCTCGGGTCCGTACGCTCTGTATAAAATTTCCGATCTCTCGTCGAATACGCAGAGAAGGGTTCGATTCGTGTATTAGCAGTCGAAGTTGATACAGAGCGTAATGGGAACCAAGGGGCTTGGAAAAGAAACGTAGTTCAATAATGTGCTGCAGGAGCTCAGATGGAAGTCGCTCGAGTTGCTGGGGGAAAGTGTAAGGATAGCCTTCCTGGATAAATTGCATTATGGATATGGATTGTGCGATTCGAAATTCAGGGGAAGGAGATGCTTTTTGAACTTGGGCAAAAACTGAGATCATCTGGTCCTTCTTATAGAAGCTCCAATATTATTATTTCCGACTAGAAAGGCCGAGAAGTTCATGGCTCGTAATTTCGTATTCTAGCTAGCCCGTCTTTACATATTGGTCTTCCAACGGGTACGCCCACAGAAGAATAACAAAATGTGATAAAAATTGGGATAGAAATGGTCTCAAACTAAAAATCCCTCCAGCGTCAACGATCCGTCTCTGAACCGTACTGTTGCCAACAGGCCTTACTGCAGGTTAGGTCCTTTTGAGGGTATCGGGGAGCGATGCCAGGTAGAGCGCTTAGTTGATACGAAGTAATCCAACAAAGTAATCCAAAGGTAAACACAAGTAACAGTGTAGGATTGATGACGAAGAACTAACTAAGTACAGGAAATGAGTGTCCTTATATCCTTCGCTCCTTACTCCCCTGCCTACCCCCCTAGGGTAGGTGCTGGAGTCACTGTATACTCCCTGAGCTAGTCGCATAGAGTATGTCTGAGATTCTGTAAGGATCGCATGGTTTCTATTGGATAGTACTAGCTAGGCCACAAAAGTGAATATAATTACATAATCGGTGGAGCCCTCGCTTTTAGACCAATAGAAACCTTTCTCTCTGTGCGCCCAGGACCACTCCCTGGCCCTGGCCAGCCTCAGGCATCCACTCCCTGTGGAGTGCCTGAGGCCACTAAAGGATGCAAACCCTGCAAACCCTTCGGGACGACACGTCTTAGAGCCACTAATCACGTGATCCTTGTTCATCCGGGGGCCCCCCCCCCGGATAAGGCCCAACTTGTCGAAGGTTGGCACAGATTGTGGCGAGTGAGGAAGTTGGAGAGAGTCTGGTCGTGAAATTGTCGAAGATAATCGTAACTTGGTATCCACAAATTTTCCCATCAAGGCCAAACAACGGGATAATTCTTTCTAGTATCCCCATTGATATCTCGTCGCTCTTTACTTGGGACCCTAGGAGATTCTGATCGATCCAAACATATTGCTGGAGCATGAGAGCAATGCGCGTGAAGAGCCCCTCACAGGTGGCTTGAAACGATTGATTCCGCAGATGGGAGGTCATAATATTGCGAAGATTCTTTCCAAATGGATTCTCCAATGTGAGCTTCGGTGAGATATCCATCATCACGTCATAGAGCTGAGCGACCGTAGGACTCTCAGCTAGACGATATTTATTTGTGCATTGGTAGGTAAGCCATTCGTTTGTGTTTGAAAGCTGGATAGTTGTGCCGTTCATTCTGCTTGAGGCTAAAATAATATTAGTCTGCGGAATTTTAACAGCCACAGCGCTTTGTGATATTGGATTTACTACACCTTTGCGAGCGAGTGGCGAGGAGATGGGGCTGTGTTGAGCTCTCTTTCGGATATGAAGTTTCAATATGGATATGATGGTCCCGCTGGGAGATGCGCTGACTTTATAGTATTGATAGTATATCATCATAGGTTCTTGATCCGGTTAACCAGGCATGAGGAATTCTGATCCGGTCACCTTGCTCCTTACGGAGATCAGGTGTTCAGACCGCCTCATTCACTTGCTGTTGAATCTCAAAGCTACACAGTCTCATCGTATAGTTCTATAGTTCAACATTCAAGGACTATCATCTTTTATTAATATTTGTCTCGGGTAAGACAAAGTTGATCGTCTTCGAAGGTGGTCTACTGGAAATTGGCAGTCCTTTCGCTAAAATAAACACGGAAGTAGCATATATGACCAATAACATGTTTGAATCCACAAGCTAGTAGATCATCAAGCACAATATGTTTATATTGTAGAAGCTGAGAACTATGTAAAAAAGAAAGAGGAAAGTAGACACTAGTCTAATGTATACGAGGTCATGTGGCCTATAAGAGGTCTGAACAGAACCCATCATTCTCAGTTCCTACCCGTCTTTTCTTTTTGAGATCGGCAGTTAAGACATTTTCGCTGGCTACCGAATGCATTTCTATTAATTAAAAGCCCCTAGAGCTTCTGTGACCACATCTAGGCCGGCTTGCCTCGCTTCAACCTTAATACCAGCCACTCCAGCACCATCACTCAATCCTCGCACTGATTGTTTGTCTATGTATGTTCACAAAGATAAATAAATGAAGGAATCAGTCCACTAGCTAAGCGTAGATAAATTATTAGATCGAAATATGTAACGACTGCGATGGAGTGCACCCTCCATCTCCCACATCTCAACTCTCACTTCTCGCCTCACCTCCCGCTCTCCTCTCCCATCCTCTGCATCGTCCACTGCCTCGTTTTCAATCGATGGTATTGTTTTTCTGGCCAGTTGAGAATGTTTGTCGACTGTGGCTGAGTCCCTCACCACCCAGCACCATTTGCCGTCTTGGCTGATACGCATCGTTTTCCACACCTAGGTCCATGGCCGTAAGGGCTATCGGTTCGTCGTGGTTACCCTCCTCGAGCCCCACATACTGGAATTGTTGGAGGAGACCCGTTCGTGCATGAAGTTGACCACGTAGCGGGTGGTCTGCGGGTTCGACATGATCTTGTCATAGTCGATTTCTGTGATTTCGATTCCAATCTTACCCTTGAGTGGTTGCCGGGGCGCCGCAGTTCGCTTGGCTGGCGCTGTCTTGCTGGATGCGTGTATTAAGCCAGGAGGCATAGTGGTATAGAGGCCCAGTGTGGCGATCAGAACTAGCGGACGCTGGGAAAGAATCCCGAGCGGAGTAGTTGAAGACAGGACTTCTATGTGTACTGATCATTTCTGCAGTCGTGGCAGTGTTCACTCTGGACTGTGGTGACAAGTTGGTGTATTGGGGTCGCATGGTGGGATGGCTAAGACTGCCCGGGAGAGAACAGATCGAGGCCGAAGGCAGATCCTCGGTTGGTGTGGTCAGAGGAGTATATTCTTGCTCGATAGGCTCCGGTGCCATTTGTCCTTGCTCGGGGTGCGGTGGAGTCTGCGCCGGCGGACTTATCTCTTTCCAGGTAAGATTCTTGATGTCAACAATCACGTGAATATCTAGGAAGAGTTGGTCAATGTAAAGCGCTCGCCGTAGATGTACTGTATTTACCGGATTGCTCAAATCGTTCCTCCAACTTTCGAACCCAAAGAATCTCAAAGATTACCTCGGCGCGGCTTTGGTCCTGAAATTTCCGCCTAGTGGCTCTGGCTACTTCCTCTAACTTATCGGCCGTAATACCATAGCTACCGAGTCGACAGAGAATGTGAACCAGCAGCTGGACACGGTCTATTGAAATAAAATGTCAGCACGTCCTAGGCAGAATCATTCTATAGACAAACATACCTTCTTTCATTATATGATCAGGCTCCTTATGCTGAACATCCGAGGGCCACCACTCAGGCTTAGTCTTTTCTGGGTCGCACCTAGTGCCAGGAGCGGACCCCGGTGGCTTCCCGCTATATGGATATTTGGATTGCTTACGTGGCTCAATAGCACAGATAAATGCCTTGGCAATCGTGCGGCAGTTCAACTGTTGAAATTCGTAAAAAGCGCGTTCATAGTAAGCTATGACATTCTGAGTATCTCCAATTCTGAACTTCATGTCAACGGAACCACTGAGGTCCTGGGTGTCGGAATCATGTTCAGCCGAATGCCTATCAGAAAGGGGCGTCATGGATCCATTTCTCTTAGGACTTTTCGATCGACTGTGTTTTGCCTCTGTAGAACAATTAGCGGGTCATGGTATACGCAAAAATATGACTTTTCATACGAATGGGCTGGTGACAGCCAATAGATTCGCCCAGAATCTGGAGGAAATTCTGCTGGACCTCCGGAGTGAACACACTAGGACCTCGCTCCTGAACAGATCGAGATTCTTGGACTTTGATATTACCCTTATGATCAATATAGATCATGGCGTAGTGGGCGTAAGGAATAGTGAATCGCGGGTGAGAGATAGGTATCTCAGACTGGACAACAATCAGCGAGAATCAACAAAATTTACCATTTACCAAGTATAGTAATACAGGAGCATTTTGCAGTCCCTGGGGCTTTTGGAGAGCCGACGAAGATCTTTTCATATCATGAGCTGTAATATTGGGCGTTTTGGAAGCCATTACGTGTACGTTGGCGGGGATATCCGACTGTGGGCTATATGAGAAGCAAGGAAGAAGCCGCTTGAGACAAATTTCAATAATAATACAACAGACTGTGATATCAGAATCCGGACGGTTGGCTCTCACTGCTCGGGAAATGACGGTCTCTTTATATATTGAGTAACGACGATCGTAGCTAAACAAGGACAAAGTCTGGGTGATTGCGTTAGGTAAATCGTATTGCTAGGTGGCGTTTTCCTGCACGTTTATGGGAAAAGAAGCTGAATATCAACCGGGGTACAGCTTTCAGAAGAATCCAAAGAATTCATTGTATAGTTATTAGGAAGCCAAGTCTTCTTTCCGTCTTATTTCTCGGGATCTAAACACGACTTGAAAGTATTTGAGCAAGATCGAACCCTTGCATCTTTTGCTTGGTATCCAAGGACCTTAATATCAGTGATATATACAACTATGAATTTGGTGCTCGATGTTGAGGAAGAATCCTACATACAAAGAATCATATAATAAATAACACACTACTGCGTGTTCGTCCTAAAAGTCTATTTTCTCTAGGCGCTCAATGATTCCGTTATCTCAACGGCTCGAGATGCGGTGGCCAAACCCCCATGGGTGGGCTAACAGAGGTCACAAAATTCTTGCTAGCTGCATCTCTAGCCGTTCGCTATTCACAGAATCCAACTTATCCACAAGGTGACGCTGAAGGTCCTCCCCGTTCTCCGCATAAAGTATACGGTTGATTGACACACGCACGCCACAAGGGGGCAGTATATCCATCATCAGAAGACTATACAGCACGACCATACATTCCAAGTCCGCATTATCAACTCTCTGCCCCACTAGACTCTTGATAAATGCCGAAGGGGCATATCCTATATTCCGAGAAAGAATATCGGATAGCAGATCGGTAGTAATGGCCTCATCACACACCCACGGCGCCGACGAAATGATGTAAGTAGTGACATCGTCCTGTTCAATTATAAACCGAGGGTTACTCATTTCATTGACTAGATAGTTAGCTAGATATCTGCTACCCGTTAGATTAAAAGGAAAACATACAGAATTGGCTTATAGCCTGTAGTATTTGTGTAGTGAGGGGCTTGGTAGGCGCTATTGGCGTTATTGACATGGCTTAGGAACGAGAGGAGGTAAGGTGCCATTGATTGCGATTGGTAGTAGAAAAACTATTTAGGAATAGAGACTCTTTATAGCTTTTTGCAGGTTCGTCTTATTGATAAACATAAGCAAATGCTGGGCTTCTTCGATATTGATCAGCACTAAAGAAGGCTTGGGCATTAATTGATGAACAGAACAAGAAACACCCAGTTAGTTGAGCGCTTCGTAAGGTCATAGCCGTTCTTAGTGTCTGTGTAGTTAAAGAAGTGATAGCGAATTCCGAATTCTTATAAAGATACACTCAACTCCTATAGGGGAATTTGAGGCTTATAATCTCTAACGAGGATTAAGAGAATATATTTTCTACCTAGAAACCTCAAGTTAATATAGACGGATAAGAACTTGCTCCTACTTACCTGCTGTAATTAACCACTATGTATCTTGCTTGTTAAAAAGAGATACGTTTGTTCTCTTTAGGATTAGCACCCATTGTTGGGTATCATTTGAACTTTATTCGAATCGAGATGGTCGATTATATATTCATATCCCCTTAGGAACTTCTGTTATTGATAATCGAAACTGAGAGGAGAGATATACGGCGATTTGTTCTAAGATGCAAGCTTTCCGAAAGTGGTTTCCAGGATAACCATCATCATGACCTATATATCAAATCTCGTTCACCAACAAAAAGCCCGCCAAAACTCTAAAGCACATACACAGCAAACAACTAAGATAAAAAGACTATAGAAAAACGAGGAAAACATACGAACGATCTGCAGAAAAACTTGTCGGATAAGGCGAGACCAGGAAGCAAAATTAAAACTAGTAGTAGTAGAGTGGCAGCCCATTGGAGTGTCCAATTGATACTGGGGAAAATAGCTGGGACCCTTGGCATGTGGCGTTGTGGTAGTCCATATCGTGAAAGCATGTAGAGCCGATAAGTATTTGACTGTGCATTGTAGTACTTTGATTGGTTGCCAGTGAGCCGTGGTCTTCTGGGCTAGCGGTGTTTTGATAGGAGTTTGTATCGATCCCGCCGCCGTAGTGGCCTGGGGCTTTAGTGTGCTGATAGTCAGAGGTATATCCTGAGAAAGTGTTCTGGATGGAGACCGGAGTGTCGCTTATCATAGGAGCGCTGGGTATAGGCTGGAAAAATGAGTTGGTATATTCAGGCGGCATTTTGTAGTCACGGTTGTCCTGCCGGTCGACAACTTCGAAGTTGCGAGGCATTGGTATGGATGAACTACCTGGGAGAGCGGAGACTGATGCTGAAGCAAGATCCTTGGTCGTTGTGGGCAGGGTAGTAGATCCTTGCTCGACAGATACTAGCGTCAGTCCCAGCTCTTTATGCTTAGGCACTCCCATAACCACTGAGGCTGCGTTGGTAGAGTCATCCTCCTTGATGCTAGAGCTAGGGTTCATGATGTAGACTACCCTATTACCATCTGAAAAGCGTGAGTTAACTTCAAAATATTAGCTGGGAGTACTCAGGACATACCGACTTCACCTCGCTCAAACCGTTCCTCCATCTTTCGAACCCGAAAGAGCTCATAGATGATCTCGACCATGCGTGGTTCCTTCAAGTCCCGTTTGGAATCTCTAACGATTTCCTCCAAGTTATCGGCAGTAATACTATAGCCACCGAGCTTGCGAAGAATGTGAAGAAGCAGTTCGATGCGTTCTAGTCCAACAAATGTCAGCACGGACTAGGATGACTACTATATAGAAAAACATACCTGCTTTCACCATGCGATCAGGCCCCTTATGCTGAACATCCGAGGGCCACCACTCAGGCTTAGTCTCTTCTGGGTCGCACCTAGTGCCAGGAGCGGACCCCGGCGGTGGCTTCCGACCGGTATAAGGGTGTTTGACTTGCTTGCGCGGTTCGATGAACCTTATAAATGCCTTAAGAATCACACAGCAATTGCACTGTAGGAGGCGTTTGAGGGTATCTTCATAGTAAACCATAACCTTTTCTGTATCTCCAACTCTTAAAGGGACCATTTCATCCGAACCGTCGAAGTTATCGCTATCGAAGCCCTGCTCAGCCAAACACTTTCCAGACATGGTATATGTATTGCTCGTGCGTCGTCTCAATCGACGGGGGAGTGTCTCTGTAAAACGATCAGTGGGTGCCCATATGTATAGAATACTTTACACACGGTCAATATGCTGGTGGCAGCCGATGCGTTCTCCTAGAATTTTAAGGAAATTCTGGCAGACTTTCGGGCTGAAAACACTAGTGTCTTGTTCTTGGATAGACTCAGATTCGTAGGTCTTGAGCCTCCCCTCATTGTCGACATAGATTATGGCGTAGTGGGCATAAGGAAGGGAGACAGTCATCTCGGGCTGGACCACAATGTCAGTAAGAATCAATCAAATTTGTCAGTCACAGAAGACAGTCATACAAGAGCAACATCCAATCCCGGGGCGCCTTGGAGGGTAGAGGCAGACCTCTTCATGGCACGCGTTGTGGTAACCATTGCGACAGTATATCGACTAAGACGCTCGACCGTAGCCTATATGGCTTGTCGTGGGGGGTGGCTGCCTTCTTTTGAAGGAAATACTTCAGAAAAAAATGATGCAACAAAGACTATCGTAATAAAAGTAGGCTATGCTGTCCAGAGAACGATGGACTTAAGAACTTGGTGCTGACATGTGGGAATATAGCTCTTAGGCTTTTATATACATAGTGTAAGATGAACGTTCATGGTTGGCCTTTTTCCCCTGAAGGCGTCTTGGGAAAAAAGAAAGTGCTCTCGAACCTAAAGAATAAGTCATAGTCGACCAAGAACTGGGCATTCTAGCATTGTGGTGGAGTTGCTTCTGTTGGAAACTGCAAAAAGGAACACCTACCTTAGCTCAAGTGAGAGGAGACTCGTAGAATTAATTATGGCTAGGGCTAATATGGATGAAATAAGATCTGTAAAAAGATAGATAATATTGTTCTCTCTCGTTTTCGAATATTATCTTGCTTTACGCAATTCCTCGAGTGGTCTACATTCTGTGTTCGATTGGCCCAAAACAACTACACCTCCTGATTAGAAGGAGACAAAGTAGATCACTCTAGAAGCTACAGAGGCCCGCATACCAAACTAGTAGCTAGATGAAATTGAGAAGTATATTAAATTTGCAAATCTCGATATGGGACACATATAGGCCACGGCCATTTTAGAAATGCCTTGCTATTTGCCAAAGCCGAGAGCGAAAAATGCAGCCAACGATGAGAGCGAACCAGGCAAGTAAGGTGTAGATCAAAAGCTGGGAAATCGAGTCGTCATCCATACTTAAATGGAGATGAAGAGCCTTTCGCTTTGGATTCTAGACAGTTAATATACTAGGAAATCAGCGTGGTATAATAAAAACTTACATATTAAAAGGACAACCATAAACATAGCCTTTCAAGTCGTTGTTGTATCTGACATAGAACTTCACAGAGACGGATTGGGGGTCCAGACTGTACAGTCGTACCTCTCGAATTCAGCGATTTCGCCGAGAATTTGAACGTTCAAGACTGGACCCTGCAGCTGGGCCATCAATTAAATCTGCATTGTCAGCGTCTCCAGAAAATCCCCTCTGAGTTACCCAGCCTTTACTTACAAGGCTCTCCTTGGTTGTACCAACGAACTGGCGGCGGCGTGCGCCGGAATTGCCTCGTGAATAGCTTTTCGGGGTTCCGAAGGGGAGTTGGAGGTTCTGGAAGAATAATGGTGGTATCACTCATCGAAGATCGAGCCGATTGGGTGGGAGCAGGATGACTGGTATCTGAAGAAAAACACGCTTAGCACATCGGTGAGATGCATTTCGAGCAGCGGATACTACCGTGAAATGGTGGCTCGTAATATGAAGTGTTGGGGTTCACAGCTTCTTCTGTGCTTCTGCCTTCTGCGCTCTGCTCTTGAGTTTCCCTGGCGGATTGGGAATCGTATTGACTGAAGAGAAAAGAAACAATCCAGCTGGGAAGCAGTCTCCGTAGCGAGGAAGTTGGAATACAATCCATGAGGGTTCCTTAGCAAGCTGATAGCTATTTCTGGTGATGCAGATATGGAAGGGGTTGGTTAGCAGAGTAGCCTCAATACTGGCCGATCGACCTTTTTAATTGAAATTTCGCTTGCTTTAGATAGGCAACGTCGGCATTTTTTGCTTTCGCACGAAGGAAGCGATTGGAGGAGGTAGGTAATAAATATATAAGTTGTAGGTCCATATTGTGGCTTGTTCAGATGTTTACTACGGTTTGAATCAGTCATATTCTTCATTGAGCCCAACAGTAGATGAAATTCAAAGCTTAACAAATTTTGTCTTTTTGATTGAAGCCTTTAGACACCGAAATTTATTATAGCAAATTAGGCTCTTGAGCACGCGTATAACGAGATAATAACGATGCTACTGGTTCACAACCAAAAGTCTATCGACGGCCACAATAACCTCATCCCTCGTCATCTCGCCACGATCCAGACAGTCCTTAAGCCCCTCGATTTTATCGACAATCTTGTCATACTCATCCAAGTCTTGGAGCTTGTCAGCCGCAAAGTGTTTCACCTCCGGTCTGACTTCCAACTCATTGACACGTTCTCCCCACCACTGAGCACTCACGCTTTGCCGTAGCTGCATGCAAGGAAAACTGAAGGAGTCGAAGAATCCACTAGACAGGAGCATATGAAACCACATAGCTCCTGAAGCCTCGGACCATTTGACAAGCTCAGAGAGTTCCGTACCCTGCTTTCTAGGCATTTTCGCCTCTTCCTTTGCTAAAGCTTCTTTAAAAATGTTAAGACAATTGAAATACCGCTTAGTGGCTTCGGGAGGGTTGCCGTCCTTGAAATCCCACTCTTCATTAACCGGTCGGTCATGAAGAAGCCACCAAGGAGCTGAACCGAACAACTGCGCCGGTCCCGCATACACCCACTCAAGGTCCACAACCCCGACAATTGTAAGGTCTTTCTCGCTTTTCACGATCATATTTGCTGGGCCGAAATCATCGCATATGAGTTTAAAAGGCCCATTTTCATACGCCACATTCACAAAGCGGGGTATTAATGATTCCAGAATACTTAGTGAAGCATATTTGGAGATACCATCTAGTTCGCCAGCGATTGAATTCGGTTGATATCGAAGTTGTTGCCAGTCTTGGTCAATAACGTACCGGAAGTACGCCATGGTTGTCGAGAAGCCCTTAGTCCGATCACCTTAAAAGACCTCTATTAGTAAAAGTAAGAAATTGAAGGATTCTAGACGTACCAAAAGTGTGGACCCCCCCGGTCTGTGCAATCTCTTGTATCTTCCATGTCAGCGGACGGGTAGGCGCAGAATAACCAGTCCTTGGCGTGGGCAAACTTCCGATTCGGTCAAAATTGATCTCGAAAATTTGCAACATGAAGTTCGCCATCTGTCTGTACACAATCTCGAGGTCACTGTCTGGAATTTCTTCTTTGAGTAGCCTGGAATCGCCTCCAGTGAACACGTCGTTCAGACAAATCCCGTCGATGAAGTCCATCAAGATGAAAGGGCCAAGACCCAGAGGATTGCTATCAGCAAGACCCCAGGCTTTGACATCTGGAACAGGAACACTTGTCCTCTCGCGGATGAGAGAAAGAGCCTCCACTTCCATAACTACCTTTTCATCGGCGTATTTAGGGCAAATGCTCTTCACGCGAGGGAAACGGAGTAACCACGTAGTACCATCCTCAAAGAGAACCTTTTGACAGATATTGTACGAGCCATTCAAAAAGCCAGCATGCAGCTGGCAGGGAATTCGTTTGGGGTGAAAGCCAGCTACCCATTCGCAAAGACGTCCGTTTACTCGAAATTTATTGATTTCGTCGACCCAGACGTCTTCTTGGATCTGATGTGAGATATCAAGACCTTGGTTATAATCCATTGTTGAAGGAGCTTGACTTATAAAAGTAAATAAAATAAGCTGGTGAGTTGAGTGAAAAGTGACGCTAGGTTGAAAGACTCCCAAGTTATTTATCGTCGAGAAATAGGCTTATATAATATCTGCGTAGACCGCCTCAACCCATCCCACTTAAAATCAATGGTCATGCAAAGGATAGGACCGCACTAGAATGCTATTAAAAAAAATTACTTTTATTCGTGCGCTATATGCCCTGCTTAGTTACAAATTTGCTATTCTCTATCCTATTACTTAAAATTGTGGGCAAGTTCTCCGTTCATTGTCAAAAGTCTGTGCCCGCAGCCCATAGGAATTCTAGCCAAAATTCAACAATTTTGGTCTACACATAAATGGAAATAGTTTTTGGTTCCGTAAGGGAATTGAACATTTGAACGAGTATTGACTATCTCCAAGGGTCTTTGCCACCAAAGCTAAAAGAACTAAGTTCCAAGTCACAAAACTGACAGATGTCCGTGATTATACTTCCTTTCAATATCGCAATTTGCACCCTCTGATTGTCACGAGCAAAAGAGATCGTCCTCAGTCTTACTTGCCCTATGCGAAATTGTTAGCGAGTGAGATTTCTTTTCTTAGAACAATAGGAGCTGACTAACAGTGCCTTCGTTTTTTGCCTTTGCAGCATCGCGCTCCGCTTTGTCCCTAGCCAATTGTGCTGCCTTCATTTCACGGTTTTGCAGGCGCTTCTTTTGAGAGGAATTGCCAGCATCTACCACTTGTCCCACGGCGGCAGATCCTGCCGAAGCTATGGCGGCAGTAACAGCCTTGCGATTTTCTGCGGCGTTGTTGGACATATCTTTGGGTTTTGGTTGGGCTTCGCTTTGGGCTAGTCCAGTTTGTGTGCGAAACCGACGTATGCAAGTAAGAAGGTGTAGATAATAACTAAGCAATGGAACTTGAAGATAAACAGTTGATGTTGTATTCCAAGCGGGATAGTCGCCCTACTTATGTTCCTAATGCTCTGCTTTTTGGCACGAGGGATGTCCGTTGCGAACAAACGAGTGCAATGTTTCGTGACAATCCTCTGTAGCCATAGTACTTGAACGCTTCGGACTGAATTTACTAAAGACCGTCAACCGCCGACGATCTATGCCATTCTAGGCTCGTAATAACTGACGGCGGAATCACAAATAGTCCAGCTCAGGATCTGAGGATACAGTTGATCTTTTCTACTTTGGTTGTACGCGGCCTGAGCCCAAGCCTACTAGTTCTACACTTGCTAGTTTTCTCTCTGGGTGGCGTCTTCTTGGCGCAGATATACGTCAAGATGCAGATGAAAATTAATCTAACCAGATCTGGCGACCCAGAGTCTGGGTCGCCAGATCTGGTTAGGAGGGGATAATACGACCAGCAGCAAGTCCCACCAACGACAGAGCGAGAAGCCGGAGCGACAGTATTTCGTTCAGGCAGCCATGTGCGTTCGCTTCCACTTATTGATTCCTAATTCCAGATGAATACTGACCTATGTATGTTTTATTGCACAGAGCAAGTTGCCAAGTTGGGATGTCATAATCGCGGATGGGAATGTGAGAGCTGAAAAGGAACCTGTGGGTAAGGCAGCGGAAGAGAGAGGAGAGAGAAATGAGAGCCTTGTCGATGGAAAGGTGCGAGATCAGCTTTGACATGTGATGAATGTGCAGCTCAAGGCATGCCCCAGCGCCACAGGCGCGTCGCACGGACCCTTCTCGTTCCGGCCCTTCCTCTCCCCATCCCAGACGTTGAATGCTGCCATCAGTTGCGGAGAGGGGTTTTTGACCTCTTACTTCTCAGTCCTCCCACTTCCATGGGCTTGCCTGACTACTAACCCATGGATCACAATCGCCTGATTCAATGCCAGGGCGATAATCTCGCTTATATCAAGCACTTAGAATTACGCATTATCGAGCTTGAGAGTGCCTGCTCGTCCCGTTATCCCGAGTCCCCGGGAAGTCAGCAGCAGATAAGTGGACAGTGCAGACCTTGCGAGGTCTGCCGGAACCTCGATCATTACGCACAAGATGTCGGTGCTTCCCAAGAAATATCTTCTGATAGTATACGACTGGCCTCTGAAAGTTGTCACGACAATCAATCAAGTCAACACAACAACAGAGCCCCAGGGAGTACATTCGCCTTCATCCCATACGAGCCATCAGTGACAACGGAATCCCCAGTCACAACAGACTCTTCCACGCTCACCCATTCCGCAAAACAGCAATGGAGTCGTTTGGTTTCGTTCACATCCTCACTTAATGATCTACCCAGAACTTCTCATTGGAAAAAGTGGACCTCCACCAGTGAAGGTCAACGAAAGAATATAGTTCTTAGCTTGGTATCCGGTTTAGCCTTCCCGAATGACGATAACCCGATAGCACCCGAGCTGCCTGCCCCTATATCCATCCTGCTGGAATACAGCAAATCCATGGAGCCGGCAGAACCGAAGTGCGCCTCGGCGAAATCAGCAAAAAACCGTCCATTTGCATGCTTCCAAGAGCTTATCTTCTGTTCAATGTGTGCGGTCGCCTTAGAGGTCACTCCGAAGAAAATTGTCTTTGAAGCCATGCAGTCTGTTTTCCAGTCTGACGCCGAATCTAAGTCTCTTAGGACACGGATCCATGGTGCGAAATGGGCAAACCGAGCCATTTACCTTTTATCACGCACTGAATGGGGCTCTCGTAGCTGGGACCTTATCTATGCCGGTATGAAATATATTCGCAGTTTGCCAGGACAAGCTAACTTCTAGTCTCGGCAGCCAATAATCAAGTCAACTTTTATCGACAGTTCAACGACTACTCCATTACACCCGATGACTTGATAACGAGGCTGAAGATAGAGTTCAATCCAGAGGATACTCAAACTATATCAGTACCCCTCGCTATCCCTTCAATCATACGAACAATTTTTAGAGATCTAGTACCGTATGCCACCCGCTTAAAGCGTCTTATACATCTTGGTTAATATTTCTCATTATAGGCTCGAAAAGATTTGCGAATGCCTAGGATATGAGCTTCGTGATTATAATAAACTTGACCTTTCTGGTCTTGAAAGACTTCTTGTCGTGTCAGCCAACACCGAGCCAAACGACGCCGATCCAACGAACACCGAGCCAAACGACGCCGAGCCGAACGACGCCGAGCCAAACGACGCCGAGCCAAACGACGCCGAGCCAAACGACGCCGATCCAACGAACACCGAGCCAAACGACGCCGAGCCGAACGACGCCGAGCCAAACGACGCCGAGCCAAACGACGCCGAGCCAAACGACGCCGGGCCAAACAAGAAACGGAAAAACGGGCCACTCAAAACTTCGTCGAAAAGGCGCTGTCGGGATGTATCATCTGGCTCACCAGAAGGTAGGATGCCATCGAAAAACTTACTTTTTTTCGGGACTGATCTTTATAGGTCATTATTTTGACATTTCTAATGGATCGCATTGGTCAATCCATGCCACACCTGCTCCATCGGCACTAGCTTCTTGTTCAGATTCTGTAATGGGTGGACTTTTCGAGGAGTTCCCAACCAGTACATCCAGTCCGACGGAAGTTTCACTAGGCATAGATGCAAGTGAAGAGATGGTAGGTTCCAGGGTCGGCGATGCAAACCGTAGCCCCCTGACCAGCAACCACTCTGCACAACAGAGCATGCTTCCTCAGTCACATGTTGATCTATTGTTTCATCGAGGGGACAACATACCTGATATCCCGCTGCCAAGGGATGCACGTAGTCGAACATCATCTGCGGTAATAATTCCCGATTTCGAATTGGAGAGTCGTGCCGATCAACTTTCTACAGCGAACCTTTGTTTCGGGATGAATGGGACGCTAGATCTCGAATCTAATTCATCATCCAACATGGCGACATCATCTGCCAGCACAACTCCCAGTCAGACCTTTTCCCCCAATAATATCACTCAGCAGCAAGGGAGCAAATCTGGGTTATGCAACTTGCAAGTTGACACAGGACACACCGATAGTGAAGAAAGCCATTCTCGGAGGGGGCAAACCTACTCGAAGAACGTGTCTTGCAATAGTGGGTGTGAACCACACGAGTGTAGGAATGAACATGTCTCTCACACTCGTCCATCACCACTACCGGTTGACTGGTCGCAACAATACGGTTGGGAAATTGATGATATACTGCAGCAAGGGCTTCCGGCGAATAATCCTCAACCGCCGCCGTCGACTGACTGGTCGCAACAATACGGTTGGGAAATTGATGATATACTGAAGCAAGGGCTTCCGGCGAATAATCCTCAACCGCCACCGTCGACTGACTGGTCGCAACAATACGGTTGGGAAATTGATGATACACTGCAGCAAGGGCTTCCGACGAATAATCCTCAACCGCCGCCGTCGACTGACTGGTCGCAACAATACGGTTGGGAAATTGATGATATACTGCAGCAAGGGTTTCCGGCGAATAATCCTCAACCACCGCTGTCGACTGACTGGTCGCAACAATACGGTTGGGAAATTGATGATATACTGCAGCAAGAGCTTCCGGCGAATAATCCTCAACCACCAACGTCGACTGACTGGTGGCAACAATGCTCTTCCGACATTCTGCAGCAGGATCTTTCGCTAAGCAGCCACTCGCCACTACCCTCTTTGGGCTCAGGCCAGGAGGCCGGCACAGCTATCTCGGGTAATTCCCCGGAGATCCGGTATCATTTATTATTTCGTTCTTCACTTGTGTCCAGAGAGGGCAGCACTTCTTGGGACTTGGAGAATAGCCGCCACGCCCTTGGATTCTCGGACGCCATTCACCAGAATGCTTCTTATTCCCCGAACAGGGGACTTTCAGTAATGTGAACAATAAAACAAAATAATGATAACATTTGAACTTCCTCGAATCCATTTCTTGCTTGGGCCACGGGTACACATCAACGAGGCGCAACAACCAGCGTAGTCGTACCCGCACCCACAACTGGGTCAACATTAACTTGTACGAACCATCCTTCCTTCAATAACCACCCGTTCACTTCAATTCCTTTCGGTATTGGAATAAGGTATGCCGAGTTTGGAAGATTTAGTTTTGTAGGATCCTTCCAATACCTTAAGCGTCCTTCCCAGTTCTAGTTGGATTAGTAAAATGGTCTGTCTAGGAACAAATAATATTCGTGCCTACCTCATCAATACCGAGGGCGGTTTTCATACGGGAAATCAACATCAAAAGCGCATCCCCGCCATATTTCTTATTTCCTTTTTCATCCTCTTCAATTGTTGTGACTTGTGGTAGTAATGCCTTGATCTCTTTTCGGATTCCTTCGGCTACATCGACCAACCGTCGAGGTTCCATCGAGTGCGAAAGAACGGTTCTAAATCGAGCTCCTGAGGGTAAGGTCAGTTTAAATCCAATATGGCCGGGAATTTGAAATACCTTGCAAGGGCAGAGGTAAGACTTGGTTGTCTTCACGCTGCGATTAAGAGGGGTAAATAAGTGATTATCACCACGGCTAAGGTTGGGCACTAGATCACATGACACTGTAAATCAACGTCTATCGGGCCGGTCGTTAGACCAAAAAGAGACGTCATAGCCACTAATTTTCATTGTCCGAGACCTGTCCAAAATAAAATGCTGTCATCCAATGATATTCAGATTGAGTCTGGTGAAGCGTCAGTTCACGGTCAGTGCGGCAGTCACGCGACTCGTGGGTGATTCTCACCCTGATTCTCACCCTGTCATTAGTGGGCATTGGGGGCGATGTGCCGGTAAAGACAGAGCATGGAATGACCCGCCTGGGGCATGTGGTGGTCAGTGCATCCTCCAACCAGCCACGAATCACATGAAGAGAAAGATGAAGTGTCACCCAAATATAGTGCTGATTAATTTACTTTCAGGCTTTATTACTTTAAGGCGAGAATCCCAATATACCAATCGATAAACATCAATACCAGTTATATAGCCAGAGAATGACAACAGTTGGATAGATCTGCTTCGACCTCCTCGCAACAGCCACACGCATGAAGTAACAAGCAACGTTCCGCGTTCCTAGACAATGCTTCTCTAAAGCTCGTGCAAACTTGATACAGCAAATACTTAGTTAGCTCGCTATAGAACGGGGTTAGCTGCGTGTTAATTTCCACGTGAAGCGGTGGGGCAGAAATTACGGTCTGCTTAGACTTGTCCTTCTGAGCATGATTGCCTTTGACCTTGCTACCGGCGCTAGTCTCGCCCTGAACAGAATAGTGAGCGTTGGGATCACCAAGGATACTGTGAGACATGTTGCTGGTGATGGTTAGCCAAGATGGTATAGAAAGACTGAATGAGTTTCAATTTGAGGCACTCAGAGACGAAAATCTTGCACGACCTTTCAAGGATCTTGATGGTGAAACATTGAACGAGTTATTTGAGTCTCTTAACAACGAAAATCTTGCCCGTCCATATAAGGATCATTTTTCTCGGCCCCTGGCTAAGGACACCGGACCACGAAATGTCGATGAAGCAGCATTGAATCCACGTCCGTCCGAGTTCACTTTCTCTCAGCCCCCTTGGGACATGGGATCGCAAGATTTTGATCAAGGATCAAGTTCCTTCCAAGACACCTAGCCTACCAACAATAAACCTACGCACCATTCTATTCGGCATTCGAGAGGATCACAGCAATCGTATACAGAATAGCAGAGGCTCAAGATTGTCAGGTGCAGCTCTAGTGGACTTATATCGTTAAACTAGATCGGCAGCATGGCGGACACATATTATCCTGCAAATGGTTTACATTCGACGTATCCGGTGCAAGGTGCCCTACAAATAGGACATCTCCTTGGAGTCATAAGGTTTTCTGCGCATGACTTGCAAAACATGTGCCCACATAGCAAAGTCACCCAACGGTCTGGCTGCATATAGCAGATCTTGCAGTCCAATTTTCTTAGCTGTGAAAGTTCCTCTCGAAGTTCTTTGTTGGCTTTTCGTAAGTGTTGAATATCATGGTCAAGCGCTTTTCGGAGCTTCTTAAAAGCATGATCCTAGTCTTTTATTAGCCATAGAAGAATAAGGCATTGCGAGGAGCTCGTACGAGAGTAGAGGACTCCTCTGTTTCGGTTCTTTTGCGTTTGCGTGATGGTGCCGTGTCAGCCGCATCATCACTAAAGACCACACGCTCGAAATCAGGGTAACTGTAATCGCGCCGAGGGCCCCTTTGAGGTCGCGAGGTACCTGGCTCGGGGTTTGGTAATCTCTCATCATCGGCTATGATAATTGTATCGGAATGACTAGCCATTGTGCCGCTGGTCGCCACTAGGGGGAGGAAAGCCGATATAACCTGGCCAGATAGGAAGAAAAGGGAAAATCAGGGAACGCCGCCAGCTTGGGGGAGGGAGGCCCCTTATATTCCCGAGGACCAACAGTGACAGAGTCAACTCGAGAAGGTGATTGGACTCTGGTGTGTTCGCAGTGCATAAGTAGCCATACTCAAGCGGATTCACTAAGCCAATGAAAATCCTTGAGTATGCTTCTGGGCTCTTTGGCCCCTGGGACAACTTATGCCTCGGGGGACAGCCTCGAGCATGAAAGGATTAGCGTCCTCTTCCTCTTTCCCTTATCTTTATGACTATCAGTGACTCTCATTTGTCAACATGGCCCAATGGAGCCAGTCCGAGTGTAGCTGGACTGCCGCCCACTCCCGTATCTATTTTGCACCGCCGACTTCCCGATTCATGGCGCTGCAAGCCACCGACGAGATTTTTCGAGACTCATGTAGATATGGCAGGCTTGTTGGCCTTCCAGTGCTATGTCAGGCTCCCAATGACTCCTGCTCACCGCCGACTTCCACTAGGATCGCTAGTCTTCGTGTGAATTACCCGGCAAAGACGTGCTCCATACGATCACAGAGAGTCTCCCAAGTCTGAGGTCATCAAGAGCAGCCTTACCCCGCAGACTATTCTTAGAGCAGTCCTGCCCTCAGTTATACTATGGCTCCCAACATTGGGATCACTGGCTCAGATGCTCCCACCAATGTGGCGTTCCCTCTCATGTATGGATACGGACTCCATTGTATGTCGATGGAACTATGGCGTCTATCCTGCCAACACCAACTGCCGTTGTCCTGATACGCAGGGCGACTCAGCCTCAACAGAGTAAAAGCGATACATCCCAGGCGACAAGCTAGGCAAACGTCGCCATTGAACATTACAGGGGTGTATAACTTCACCAAAATCAGCATGGCCGTCGCCGTAGCCGTAGCGTAAGCTCGAAGAGTATAACCCCGAGCATATGTGGATCTTCAGTAAGATTGACATCCAATTTAGGCAAATTGTGGCGTAGAATGAAGCCGGCGGACTGGACTTTGTTCCAGTGAAACTCAAATCTCTCTCGCTTTGAGTTACTGTTCACCGTCGGGGACCTTCTTCTGGTCTTGCTTTCTCCAGAGACTGTTCGCTGAATTTATGTACTTGATTTGAGAGGGTGACGAAGAGAAGTCTTCGTCGTAACGGGTCGACTTCGTGCATTCTTGGCAGATCATTGTAGCAACTTCTCAAGGCATTCCTGTCAGAAGGGCCACCATGGCAAAATAATTCTGGGCTAGAAACCCAGAGCGAGCCTCAGAGCGAGCCTCCGTGCAAAGAGCCCAGGCGGCCCCTCAGAATGAACGACTGCATGAATGAAGGACTGAATGGACGACTGAATGAAATGGACGGCATGAATGGACGGCATGAATGGACGACTGAATGGACGACTGAATGGACGACTGAATGGACGACTGAATGGACGACTGACTGGACGACTGAAATTCATCCGGGGGGCGGCCCCCCGGATGAGCCACCTGAACGAGATGAGCCACCTGAACGAACTGAGCCACCTGAACGAACTGAGCCACCTGAACGAACTGAGCCACCTGAACGAACTGAGCCACCTGAACGAACTGAGCCACTTTTCCATCAATGCCTGCTCAAAACCGACGATTCAATCAGAGACCATCATAATCAAGCAAGCCTCGCACCTATAAGCACCTCGTCAGATGTCGGCTCTCCTAGCATTCTCTAGCGAATTACCGTTGCAGGTTTGTCAGTGAACGCAGCTCAATTTGTCTCGCTCATAGAGCTTATTCCTGACGAGAGATTCAAGTGCTCAGACAGGGAAGGTACGTCTCTTTGTTTTCCATGAGGTCCGTTGGCAGCTGACTGCATGACGTCTAATCCCTAAGACTTAGAGCATACAGAAGCGTGTTCCGCAGAACGGACGGAGAATGAGAGAGGTAAGCCTATTCTTTCTATATCAGAAGAATTTGCGGGTCTTGCGAGTGATGTAATCGAGATAATGACCTCGCCACGGTGACTGTACTTGCTGAGGAATTTAAATTAGGACTGAATTTATCTATCCACTGACGAGACCGGTCTAGGTAATCCGAAACCATCGATTCGACGTATATTCCAGAAAACAAAGGACTCTGAACGTCAGCAGCATGTCGGTGCCTTTGGTGCCTAAGGCATGAATCGACTCGAGCCAAGGGGGTGAGTAAGCTGGTTGGTAAACATCTGGACGCATTCCACCCGCCCAGACGGGCCACTCCCCCGCGCCAGACAGCGAACCCCCTACTGTGTTGACTTCGATTATTTGCTGAACGCTGATTTCAACAAGCGATGGAAGAAACAATCGCCGAGTGGATGACAACGAAGACGAGTTGATTCTACCCAAAAAACAAGACTATTGTGATAGTTTTCCCAGTCAAGACTCATGTCCTTCCCTTCCCATTCTTCGCTCCCAAACGCCAAGCAGCACCGAAAAGCTAGCAATCGTTCTAGGTCTGGGGCTTCAGCTGTTCTTTCAGTGTCCATTTGTCACATCTGTGGCCCGGCTGGCCTTTCCGCTCATCCTGTATGTCCTCGCAGCGCCTGACCAGCAGTTCGAACAGACGTTCTATTTCATCCAACTGTTTTGCTTCCCGCGCCCTCCACTCAGTTGACTCTAAATGACTCGGGTCAGGACAAAAGTCGGCATCCATCCAGCCACCTAAATACAGCACCCAGCGGCCTGACATTGTCCGCGCGGGAAACACGAAGTCATGTTTGACGCGGTATGCCACGCCATGGCTGTATAATAACTCGACGTAGGAGCGAAGCTTCTGTTTCAGTTCGAGCAACTTGTCGAGACCAAACTTCTCAGCTTCCAGAGAGTGCAAAAATGGGTTCCAGTAGAGCTTTGGGGTGCTGAGCATAATGACGCCAGAGCTGGGATCCGCTTTAACAATCCGCGGAGCATGGTCGACGAGGGCGGGGATCCTGGAGACAGCGGTTATGACGGAAAGTTCGCGCTCATAAGAAGCAAGATCATCCGGGGGATGCTAGATGTAGAGTTGAAGGTAAGGATATATGACTAGTAGATTGGGGCGAGGGAGGACAGACCGTGTGAATCAGCAGATGCTCAGGATTTCCCTTTCTAGCTCGTACCGCCGTTCGGCCAACCTTAGAATCATGGGTAGGGGCCTTTACGACGGCTCCCGTTAGTATAGCGCGACGCCCCATGGTTGATTTGTGGCGATGGCGATCCGGCTTCTGTCGCTCTGACAGGCCTTCCTTTTGTTCAGACAGCCGCAACTGCCGGAGCATCTGTGACGGAGGGCTTGGCGTTGTTAATTTATTGATAAAATAAGAGGCGGACGATGTGGATTCAGTGGACGTTGGACATTAATGGCAGGTTTGTTGTAAAAGGAGAATGTATGTGTTGTTTTTGTTTACATACGGGTTGCTGGGGTCAGATCAGGTGATATCAGGTGACCCGTCACTCTTTGATGCACTCCGATGCTGGTAACTAGTCAGTTACATCACACGAGCTAGATAATACGGCGCTAAAAGAACAAGGGTAGTGTTGGGTAGGGTTGGGCGCGTTGTTGCCTGATCATACTGAAGGTATGAATAAAATGAAGAGTTCTGATCCATCTAGTCCGCTTTCCTGCTATTATTCTGTAAGAAATCCACCATGTTCTTAACAATCGACGATTTCCTTGAGCCGTGGCATGGGCCAGATGCCGACGAACTTTACCACACACTCGCAACCACAATGTCCTCCTCCAGCATTGACAGCCGGTACGACGAGGTTGGCCAAAGCGAACTGTGGCAAGCATTTCACTCGTCCAACATTTCGAGTCCTAGGATGCGCGCCTCTCTAGACAAACAGTTCACAACTCGGTGGCAGGCCTGGCTGCCGGACCTCGCTCGTGTCATCTACAATGAGAGACAGCTAGAAAGTCTCTACTACAATACGTTAATTACCCGCGTGAACATTGCTTTACAAAACGCAATCCCGTCGGAAGATCCCCGCGTTACCGTTGTAGTGTGCCCGGGTTCCTTCGATAGTTTTCGTGATAATGGCACGGAGACCACCATCTTACCGGACTGGGTCGTCGTAGAAGGCACCTATACACTACATGATGTCAGCGTTCCAACACTTGACGAGCTTGTGAGCAAAGGCAAGATTATTGCGGTCGGCGACACGAAACTGGTCCGCCAGCAGAAAGAGAAAGTCAAGGATGCTGAAGCCGTTGTTAACGGCACGCATTCATGCCACCGTGCGTACCTCGCCCAGGTGCAGCACTACGCCCATATGCTCGGCACTCGTTTCGGATTCATCCTCACCAACAAAGAGCTCGTGCTTGCGCAATTCCTACGCGAAGAAGAGGCAACACCGCGCCTCACTCGTCAACGCGGGCTCAGGTCATCGATGCTACCCCAGCAACTGTTACGAGAGCTCCCGCCAGACTTCAAGAGTTCTGATCGCCCAGATGGAGTCGAATGTGATGAAGGGCCGTTGCACGCACCGCAGCCAAGGTACAAACGGAGACATGAAAGCGATGATAGCCCGACTCCGCCGTGCTCTCGTCCACCGACCACCGATCATTCGGTGCGTCAACAAGGTGACGGGTTGCCTCCTTCATCTCCTCCATCTCTTCCATTATCTCAGGTGTATAATATGCCATCGGGTTCTCCTATGCCAGCTCTAGAAGCAAGGGCAGGTCTGGAAGGTGCAGCTCGAAGCTCATTCGAGGAGCAGCTCAGCCCGACTCCGTATCGGACCGCTCAGCTTCCGCTACGCTCGCCCCGCCAGATAACCTCAACCGAGCAGGACCGGCTCTCAAGCAACGTGACATACGAACCGTCGTTACGTGATTTTGACATTGGGAGGGCTCTGGTTCGGAGCTTCAGGATTCCCAACCCAGGTGACGAGGAAAGTATGGATAGGAAGGAAGGGGACGAGTGTGGGGGGAGGATACATCCTGCTAAGGCCTTATTTGCGCTGTTGATACACGCATACTCGGTAGGGTCGCAAGGGAGGAAGATAGATGAGGGAGAACTAGGGTTTTGAACATGATTAGATACCAGAGTCCCCTCTCTCAATTCTGCGCTGCTTAGTGATTCCAGCCACAGTGATTTATCCCGGATGGTTTATATGGGCCATGGACGATATTCAAACTACGCATAGAGAATGGGGCGCTAGAAGTGGTATTGAATCGCTCTTAATCAAGGTTAGCTCTTAGTAGCTGTCGGCGAGGGCGTAATGTGGAAAGCTGGGTTACTAGATATAAGCCGCCGATTGAAATAGAGCTTAGAATCAAAGATGCTATGGTTTTCTTGAATTTAATACATTTAAGGCTTCAACTCAGCACTGCGAACGGTTTCTAAAGGTCACTACTTGCAACTTGACCGTCAACCACGCTTATTACACGGTCGATTTGGCTAAGTGGCTTAGACGTTCTTGGCTATTAAAGGCTAAGCGCATTTCTAACTTAAACGAGAGTTCATCGCAGCTATAAAGAGACCGGTTCGCTCTTATATCTATATCCCTAAAGTCTCCTTTATTGAAGCTATCAAACCAGCAAAAGTGATGATGGAGATAGAGATATGGGACCGGGGGATTTTATTCCAGGCCACAGCGCCGTCCGTTGTTAGATCTTACAGATGTCTTGGACTTGGATGTTTCTTCCCGTCAGGACCCTATTCTTGCTGCAGATACCCTTCCATTTTCTCCTACTCTGTCCTATTTCCCTCTAATCGTAGGATTCCGTCGGTGACATGTTGTTTTCCTTCTAGGAGATTCCTCGTGTGGTCTTGAGGCCATAAGAGGATGATATTTCTTTCCCTTTAGATAGATCTTTAGAGATTTAAGATTAGTTGATCTGCTCTCGCCCTTCCTTTCTATTCCTACTGAAAACCCTGATAGCAGAATTATCCACTCAAGTTTGCCATACATGTCGTTAGATATATATTCCGTCAACAGGAGGACCCTACCTACCAAACTCCTTAGAAAATTTCTTGTTCGGACTTGCGTTGTATCTGCCTCAGCGAGAGTGTGTGCAACTGCTGCGATATTTTTGATCTGATTGATAGCGGTCGGCGAGTGATATATACCTAAGAGTATGGAACTCACCTCTCGTCTATTGAGAGCCAAAGATTCCAATCGCTGTGTGTCCTCCCCAACCAGGGCAGGACCTTAGAGTGTTCGGTATACTGACGTGATCGACCTTAGGCACATGACCTAGTACGGACTGTGCTCTAACATAGGCTGGTTAAGGACGTGCGACGTAGTTGTTACCGCTTGATGTGGATTCGTCACCACGTGTATTTTAGTTATGCCATACAGGACGTCGATGCCTGAGGCGCTATATAGCTGGGATTCCTAGGGCAAGGAAATACATCGATGTCCTCGTGACGTCGATGGTGTCTGCACAACAAGCACACTACTTTGGCCAAAGGCGACTTTAAGTCAGCCTCGCCGTTGATTTGGCGAATCCTGGGTTGGAATGCGATGGGAATGCAAGTTCTAAGAGACCGCGGTTTCAGCCAGATCGAGGTGAACCAATAATGATATATCTGAGCTCAGGTGAGAGGGTCAGTGCGGTGATCGCGCGAAGGAGGGTGAGAATCACCCGCTTCCACCCAGCTTCTTACCGCTGTCTATTGCGCACGCTAAAGCTGCGCTCACCCTAAACTCACCTGGGCGATACCCACCCAACGACTAGCCGCACATAGTTCGTTAAACACCAGCGAATCAATATCTACCAGATCCCGGTAGGGGACAGCATGAGATCTCACGACCCAACAAGCTCAGGAACGTGGATCCTTTCCTGGCATATGGCGTGGTGGTCCATCCGGAGAATAGAAATGGTCGCCAGTTCAATTTAGTTTTATTAGTGAAGTACCCCGCGCGTCCGGCCACGGGAGAGCTCTTCAATTATGGTTATTTCTATAGGGGCGAGCCATCCGTTTCTGCACCTCTTCTTTGGTCAGAACCTTCACTGCGTCCTTAGAGAAGAGATAACCAAGACCAGACCATGCGGTTGTAATAGCCACGGTGAATCTATTTTCCGACGTCAGCTCCGATCAGGATCAGTTCAAGCCACCAAAAACGTAAAGTTGGGACTGGGACACGAGCGGGAAGGAGAATGCGAGGGAGGGAAAGTTTAGCCGAGGGGCCACGTCAGCCTTCAGGGGTATTCAGGGCGATCGGGTGAAGAATAGAGGGGCTTCAGGGCATTCAGGTGAATGGGCTGAATGGACTGAAGAGTAGGGCGGCAAGAGGGGATTTCCTAACGAATCAAAAAAAACGGGTGAACACCGACATACAACAGTGAGGATTCGCTGGTGGTCACCCACCCAACTACTAACTCACCGGCGTGTGGCTTAAGTACGGCTGAGCGGACGGGAAGCCCTGTTTTCCACACCCTATGGTCGT